CACTGTAAGCTGGCTATTACTTCTGGCCCTCCCTGGTGGCGCAGAGGGTTAAAGCACTGCACTAAGAAGCTAAAGACACTTCCGCATGAGTTCAATTCCCGCCTGCCTCGGAGGTGACCACATGGCGTGGCAGACCTCTCCTGACCCTCCCGCTGCTCCCCTCAGCAGAGTACTCCATCGATCTCCCTGTTCTGCTCCCCACTCTGTCTCGTGAAGCATCTCGCCACCCCTTAGCCTCTGGCCTGTACCCCAGTTCTGTATGCACAAATAAATCTTAAAAAAAAAAGAGTACTTCAAAGCCTAACAACACAACATATACCCTGAGGGAGACTGTGTTTGAGTTTGGGGCTGGGAGTAGAGTCCCTAATTTCTGATGAGGAAGAGGCTACTCTCCTCCACTATTGGGCTTGGATCCCTAACTCCCAGGTGTGGCCATGTGGACTTCATCTGTTCTATTTATTCACAGGATGAAATTTGTAAGAACTAATTCAAGCTGAAGCCTCATTAATTGTAACTATTGAGAGATGAATTCATTTCCCATCTTTATTTGGACTCATTTTTTTAAACATTTATTGCCACTCTTCCTTATCACATGACAAGTGAGTTGTTAATCTGCAACAAGTGGCAGAATACAGAAGTTACTTTTCACTTTACTATCTGTGACCTTTACCAATTGGGGAAGAACGTTATTATTTCTCTTCAAATTATCAAAGAAATTTATAAAATTGCAATAGACAAGGGAAGGGAGGGGAGGAACAAGAAATGATATCGTTCTGCTTTTAAACCTGATTTCATTCCTGATGAGTAGACAATTGAAAATGCTTCAGGTAATTCTAATAATCCAGTCCATACTAGTGACAAGGAAAATATCTCAAGTCTCCTGCAAGCATGTGGGAAATGATGAAACAGCAGCTTCATCTCTTACAAGTATAGCCAATTTCTGTTGCACTTTAACCTACTGAGATGGTGTCTGTGAGTTCATCATTTCACAGATGAGGACATTGAGTCTGAGAGAAAGGAAGTGATGCAGAAAAACCCTCCAATCCGAAGTCAGTGTCTTAAAGGACCAGTATGCTCAATTTATAAATCCTGCAAAGGAAAGAGCATTTTTCAATAAACTTTCTCATTTTTCCTTATAGCAAAACAAGCAACAACAAACTTTTTAGTATTCACATGAAAGTTGGAGAACAGAATAAGCAGCCATGACTACAAAGCTACTATGTACATCCCTGGCCATGGTTGTGTTGACTACTGAGGACTTTTTTTTTTTTTAATATTTCTAGCTGCAGCTGAGTCTTTTGAGTCTGACATGTAGTTTAAGTGGGAAAGCAGTGACTGATTTGCCTCTAGGAAATTCTTTGCTGTGTTGACTGTTCTAAGTAACTTATCCTGAGGGAACATGCCTTGTGGTTTTAGGACTGTTTCAGTTTATGTTAATTCAGAACAGTGGTCTTCTGGAAAGGTTAGATCTTATCCCATAGTTCAGCAGTCTTTCTTTGACTGCAATTTTAAGAACATATTACTGTTTATGAGTATGAGCATTATGTTAAAATGAAACAGTAAAGCAAGAAAAGGAAATAAATTGAAAGTGCGAATTTTAAGAGAGAAAATCTTAAGAGATAAAAACAAGAAAATCGTACTTGATTAAGAAATGCAAAATCGTGACTTAAGATTAATTAAGCTCCATTCAGTTTAAGACATAATGTGGGCATATTCTGCTTATGAGAATGAAAAAGAAACATGACAAGATATATGCAAATAAGGAAGAAGCATCAAAAGAGATATGCACACTGCCTGCATGAAAGATGCATATCTGGTTAGGGAGAAGAGGCAAATGTATCCTAAAAAAACAAGCAGATTATGGGAAAACTCTGAAAGTCAGGCATGAGTATGTGATGGAATAAATAAAAAATGAAAATTAAGTTCTGTAAGTTTTGGCAGAGTGTATTTCATAGAAACACATGGAGAAGAGGGATCAGTGGGAAAACTTGGAATTAAAGATATTAAGGAGAAGCAGTAAGAGTTCTGCAGAGAAAAAATATATACTAGAAATATTACAATTGCTCAGCAATCTACTCTTGTTTTTCTCACTAGCTCATGTAAATGGGCAGGGCACTTAAACTTTCTATGACTATTATTATTCATATTTGAAATCAGAGAGTTGAATTTTATCACAGTTGTGCAATATACTGACAGAGTAAATTAGAGACAAATTTACAGGGACCACAGAAGTACTTAAAACTTTCTATAGCTGTGTATTTTGTTTCACAGTTACCTTCTGTGTTGGGTTACACTGGCAGTGCATTAGCAAAATAACCTAATTTTTAAAAAGCATCTTGACTTTTTGCTTCCAAACCCCTGAGGGTTTGGAATTATCACTCTATCATAAATGTTAGAAACAATTTTCAGTCACTGAAAATCAGGCCTGTAAGTCAGATTGCGGTCACTGAGAGAAGGAAAATAAATGAAGTGAACACTGTGAACATTTCAATTTTTTGCTTGCCATGAATTTCTGCATTGCAGCAAAGGTAGGAAATCCAACAAAAGAACAATGGTTTGGCCAGTTTAAGGAGATAGAGATTATAATTCAGGGAGGTTGAGGACAATAAAATTTTTGCCAGAAATAGGGGAGGTGGGCCCTGGACTCTGGCTCTATCGTCTTCTGCCCATGCAAAGTGTGAAATTCTGTAAGAATGAGCATCACTTCCAATGAAAGGACATTGCCTGGAAAATGTAGGTAAGACAATTCTTAGTGTGTGGAAAGACCTTTTTGAAAACACAGGGCAGCTCCACAGTATCCCCAAAAAACAAAAGAACATGCCCCAGTAATAAGGCAAAACTTCTTTAGAAGAGAGATGATTCTAGATCTGTCCTCAAAGAGATGGAAAATGAGCTTTAAAGCTATTAAATATAACTGCAACTGAATGAACTGACTGCCCTAGATTTTCTAGCCCCATTTAAAGGAATAAAGCAACATTAAAGGAATAGAGCAATGAAAAACTCACTTTGAAAGACAGTGATTCCTCAGAAAATTGAAATTACCATTGATGCAGCCACTCTGGATATCTGTAGGAAGAAAATGATGCATCTTTATGAAGAAATTGATAACAGTTTATTACAGGGATATCTACATTACTGTGTTTGTAATTCTTATTAAAGTAACTCTCATTATAAAGTATGTTTCTGTTGTACATCATTATAAATCAGTATCTCCATGGATACTACTCTAAAGTTGACCACTAATAATCCAGTTCTATTCTTCACCATACAAGTGACCCCTTTTACATGATTTATCAACCTTACCCCCTTTCACTTCTGGTAGCCACTAATTTGGTCTTATAGTCTAGCAGCTTATTTTGTTTGCTTTATATAGTTCATTCATTTGTTCTGTTTCTTTATGCACCACATCTGGTGAAAATCATATGGTATTTGTTTTTCTTTGTCTGACTTATTTCATTAAGCCTCTAGGTCTGTCCATGTTATTGAAAATGGCAGGATTTCATCTTTTCTTTTTTAATAGCCGAGTCATATCCCATCGTGGATGTGTGTACAGATATTGTATATGTACCACTTCTTCTTTATTCAGTCATCTGTCTGTTGTCACTTAGGTTGTTTCCAACTCTTGGTTATTTGTGTTCCCACATTTATCACAGCTTTATGAACAATAACCAAGATGTGGAGCCACTGCAAATATCCACTAGTGGATGAATGGGTAAAGAACGGACATGTATAATGGAATATTAGTCAGCCTTAAAAACAAAGCAACCCCTGGACCCTCCCTGGTGGCGCAGCAGGTTAAAGCACAGCACTGAGAAGCTAAAGCCACTTCCACATGAGTTCGATTCTCGCCTGCCCCTGAGGAGATCCACATGGCCTGGCAGACCTCTCCTGACCCACCCACTGCTTCCCTCAGCAGTGTACTTAGTTGACCTGCCTGTTCTGCTCCCCACTCTGTCCCTGGTGAATCCTCTCACCCTCCACATCTCTGGCCTGTACCCCAGTTCTGTATGAATAAATAAATAAATCTTAAAAAAACAAAAACAAAAACAAAAACAAAACAACTCCTCCCCTACCGCAAAGGTGAAACTCAAGGGCAATCACAGGACAAATATTGCCTAATTTCGCTAAAATGAATTATCTAAAAATAGTCAAAGTCATAAAAACAGAGAGTATAATGGTGGTTGCCAGGCATGGCGGGGGGAGGGAGAAAGTAGTTGCCAATAGTTACACATTTCCAGTTATGCAAAATAAATAAGTTCTACAGATCTGAACTACATTGTGCCTATAATTAATAATACTGCACTATATACTTAAAAAAATCAATCAACAGGGCAGATCTCATGCTAAGATTTTTATCACAAGAAGAAAATATAAAATGAGGAAATGAAGGTAAATGATGATTTTCCGACACACACTGATCAAATCAATCATTAGTACATCCACAAAACAAGAAATAGTCAATGAATTTCCAAAGGCCCAGGGAAATAAGACAAAGGGAAACAAGAACAGGGTCTCTCAAACTTTTAACCCAAATGACATCATCATCATAATAATAGCTCCTATTATTATTAATAGTAGTAGTAGTAGTAATTTACTGTTGCTGATAAAAACAATCACCATATGCTTAGTCACTTAGTACATATTTATTATCTCACTGTTTCTGTGGGTCAATAGTCTAGGCCCAGCATCGCCAAGTCCTCTGCTCAGGGTTTTACCAATCTGCATTCCAGATGTTGTCCAGATGTTGTTCAGGCTGCTTTCTCAACTGAATGTTTCCTGAGATGATAAGGTGTCCAAGTTCATTCAGGTTTTAGGCAGAATTCATTTCGTGGTATGTATTCTGATTGAGAGGCCTGCTATTTTGCTAGTGATAGAGCTGAAGTTCACCTACATGTTGCTTGCTCTATCTTGACATAGCTGGCTACTTGACATAGCTGTCAGGGTGTTACCTTATTGCTATGAAAATCTGCTTGCTTAGAAAATGCAAAGTGTATTTAACTTTACAAATATTCCACCATTAATCTAATGAGGTCTTGGTAAATTTCCTGGGGTGCATCCATTCCAAGGTAAAAATCCAAATGATTGTAGTGTGGGATTAACTTGTAATAAATAAGCCTGGAAAGTTTAGGGAGCAAATTATCAATGTCCTTGGGATCAGCAATTGGATCCTGTTGCCCACTCCACACAGCTATTGGAACTTCCATTTTAGTGACGTTGTATATGGGAGGTGTAAGCTAAATAAAGAGACAGAAAAAAAAATGTCACCACATTATAGAAGGAGTATTAAAGATCAGCTGTTAAGCAAGTTTCCCAAAACTTGCTGAAAGTGTTTAATTAGGATACACTTAATGACATATGAACATGAATATGTTAAAAATATACTTGAAAACACTTTTGCACAATAATGTGAATTGTGAATTTTAAAAGAAAACCATTATATTCTTGACTTGCTCAATGGGAAAATAGGAAAGGATCCTATTAGGAGAGGTGGAAAATGGCTCATTTTCATCCTTCTTCCTTCCTTCCTCTCTTTCTCTCTCTTTCCATCTTTCCTAACCCCTACCTCCCTATCCTTCTCTTTCTGGTCCTTCTTTTATGGGGCATTATATTAGCACTTGGTCTAAGAATATGTCCTTTTCAAACATAATACTAGATGCATAAAGGGAATATGCATCTAATATGCATACAGAAACTCAGATTCAGAGAATTACTGATACTAGAACAGACTCTACACGGACCATTGAAATCAATGCATGAAAACAGACATTGAAATATGATGTGAAAAATGATCTAGTCTGCTATAGAGAAATAGAGTAGCTGTGATACTAACACAACTTTTCTTGTGCTGATTTAACAGATTCCAATTCCCTGGTTCCAGTGTGACCCAGGCAGGCTAGTTCCAACTGTGTACAGTTACTGCGCATTCTCTTTGCGATAGTGATTGGATGAAAAATGAGCACATGATGACAGAGGACTAAAGTTCTGGAATTTTTTTGTAAACTATTGAGAAAATATTGAGTGTTCACTGAAAGAATTATACAAACTAGGGCCCTCCCTGGTGGTGCAGAGGGCTAAAGCTCAGCACTGCGAAGCTAGCCACAGCCGTTTCAGTGCAAATTTGATCCCCGCCCCAGAGGTGTTCCACATGCAGCAGACCTCTCCTGACCCACCCGCTGCTCTCCTCAGCAGTGTATTTTCTCAATCTGCCTGTTCTGCTCCCCACTCTGTCTCTAGTGAATCCTCTCACTGACCCTGTACCTCTGATCTACACCCCAGTTCCGTGTGTGCAAATAAATAAATCTTTTAAAAAAATTATACAAAATAAGCACACCCAGTCACCATCTTGTCTTGGAAGAAGCCTGGAGTGGAAACAGCATATGCAGTTGGAATTGAGAGGGTGGGGAGAAAGTAAGAGCTGTGATGACAGGGTCTAAGTTCAGGCTGCACTGAGTTTCCCACTGTGGCACAGCACTATTAACCTAAAATAGACCTGTTTTCTGCTACTTTCTTTCTTTCTTTCTTTTTTTTTTAAAGATTTATTTATTTATTCATACAGAACTGGGGTACAGGCCAGAGAAGCGGAGGGTAAGAGGATTCACCAGGGACAGAGTGGGGAGCAGAACAGGCAGATCCACGAATTACACTGCTGAGGGGAGCAGCAGGCGGGTCAGGAGAGGTCTGCCACGCCATGTGGTCACCTCCGGGGCAGGCTGGGATCGAACTCATGCAGAAGTGGCTTAAGTTTCTTAGTGCTGTGCTTTAACCCACTGTGCTACTGGGAGGGCCTGTATTCTGCTCCTTTCAACAAAAGTGTCTTGACTACTACCATATACTATGTACCAAGTTTTGTTTTGTGCCAAGTTATGTTCCTCCCAAAATTCAGATGGTGAAGCCTTAGCCGGAATGTGACTATATATAGAGACAGTCATTTTAGGAGGTGATTACGGTTTACTGAGGTTATAGGGTTGGGTCCAGATCTAACAGGATTAGTGGTTGTATGAAAAGTGGTAGGGAGCACACTCTCTCTCCACACTCACTCAAAGGGAAGGCCATGTGAGCCCAGGTGAGAAGGGAGCTCTCTGGCAGGCAGAAAGAGCACCTTCACCAGAACCCAACTCTGCTGTCATCCTGGCCTCAGACTTCGAGCTTCCAAAACTGTAAAAAATTACTCCCTGTTGTTTAAGCCACTCTTTATATGGTACTTTTTTTTTTTTTTTTTTGCCAACCTGAAGAGATCAATACATCATAATTAGTTTTGGCAGCAAACTGAAAGAAAGGTACCACGAACAAAAGCACAGACCTTTAGGATATGGTAGCAGCTTTGATAGGGAGAGGTTTCTTAGGTCTCCATGGGGAAACTTCTGACTTGGTGATTGTGTAAGTCAAATTCTCTTAGGAGGATGATATTCAGGTAGAGCCCCCCGGCTCAGCCATTCCAGATTTTACTGTCTCTGCGTGGGTTGGTGCTCAAGCCTTTGCATTACATAGTATTTTGAATATTGCACTTCAGCACTGGATGGGCTGGATCTGAGCTGAGCAGCAAGTAGTAAATGAGAATGTGTTGTTCTGAGAAGACAATGCCAAGGGCGGGGAAGGAGATGAGTGCAGATTAGCAAGGGCAGTAGTGCGTGCAAAGGAAAATGTACTCAAGAAAACTTCATGCAGGCTCCCAAATACAAAATGAAACTGGTAACAGAATGAAAAGGAAAAAAGGAAGAGGGAGGATGCTAATCCTTGTAAGGTGTTGCCAAAAGGTGTCCACACAAGCAATCTCAGAAAAGAGAGGTTTATTGGGGCCAGCTGCTGGAATCCAAGGAGGAGGGGCCATATCAGTGGGGTACAGGGAGGAATTTATACCCAAGGGTTATAAAGGGGGGAAGGTTAAAGCTTGGAACAGCCAAGCTCCAGGCCAGACCCAGAAGACCCCAAGTCTGCCCAACCAGGAATGTGGGTGGAGTCCTGTTGGTAGGACATCTACCTCCTTCTGGACACTATCAGTAGTCCACACGGTCAAGGGGCCTCTCTCCCTCCCTGTCCTGTCTGTGCTAGTCTAACAGTCCTGATGCTAGTTTTCTCAAAATCATTGAATTAGTGTCCTATACCTCAGGTACAATAAGTGTGTGAGCAGGGTTCCACACACCAGCAAACAATTCTCAATCACCAGCTGGGTGTCTAGAATTCAACTCAATTCTGACTCTATTGACCTAGTGATAGCATCAGTTTCCACAGGTAGAAGGTTCACCCTCTTAAGACAACTACCACTTCAGAAGCCAGCATCATGCCCAGGTTACCACCAGCTGACTACACTGGAGTTTCCCATGACCTCCTCCTCAGACCTCCAGTGATAATTGCAAGCCCAAAGTACTAGCTGTGCTTCTGATACCCTTGGATAACTTAGGGGTCCCCAGGACAACCTCATAAGAGTTTGATTAATTTGTCACAATGGCACACAGAGCTCAGGAAATCCATCTGCTCACTAGATCACACCAATTTATTACAAAGAATAAAACTTACAAACAGCCAGATGGAAGATATGCATAGGACAAGATATGAGAAAAAGACATAGTCTCCATGTCCTCTACAGGTATGCCCAGATTCTGGAAATTTCTCCAAAATTTTAGTATGTGAGTGAGAGGGGTACCAAGGGACCCAATTAGAGCTCTAAAGAAATCTATTTATGTGCACAAATGCAAAGAACTTTACTAGAAATGCACATATGTGTGTGTGTATATATGTGTATATACATATATATATATGAGAGTATATATATATATATA